TGATAACACTGGATTTGTCCATTTGCTCATTTATTATTGTTTTATGCTTACATTTTGTTTGTGTTAATGACTGAAATAGAGTGCAAAAATAGATACAAAGAAGATGTGTGAAATTGTCATATCAGAGCACTTTCAAAAATAAACTCCACTGCCACAGATGAAAATCGAGTCTTCTATTTGAGTACTTAAAGTGAGTGTATACTGCAATACTGCATGAGTCTAGACTAGTGAGTCAAATATTATAATCGTGATCTTTTATTAACTAATATGAACTGAACATATTTTAAACGTATATTTCCACGTGTCTCTGTTCATGCATAAAAATGAAGAAGTATCCAATATTGAACGGTTAAAAGAAAAAATTAGAAACCTGTGATCTAGAATCTTGTGAAGCTATCATACTTATTTTTTAATCTTTTGCTGCTTCCTCTTAAGCCCATGGAAACTGCTGCTAAGCACTTTAAATCCCTGTTACAGCTTGGTAATGGCTTATTATTCTTACAAAAGCCGGGAACACGAAGGTCGATGAAGATTCTCAGACACCCTAATGGTGCAAATCCATCCATACACTGGTGTGTGAACAGCCTCTGCAGCGCTATTATGTCAAATAATAGGCAGAGACACAAACTTTTCTTACTCCCACCCCCACAAGCCACGTTTCTTCCTCGTGCCCACACCCCACATACACACACATACGCGCACAGCACTCTGTGCAGTGAAATATGATCGGCACAGCCGCGCTCCTGGTTCGCCTCAGTTTTTACAGGTCAGGGATGCACCGACAAAACAAAGGAAGGAGGTTTCCGTCCTGTGGGTGGTAATTATCATCCAGCATAGAAAACGAAAAGTGGCAGCTTCAAACACACACTGCCACATCACACATCGAGTTTTCTGGCAGCGCAAAGCACTCCAACATGCAGCTAGGACTTTTGGTAATGTTTCTTTTCTGGGCGAAAACTTCGTTGTGCGTCGCGCAGCAGAATTGCCATCCAGGAGACGAGTATTTCGGTAAGGTCATCTGGTCCAAACAAATACGCGTACCGTGCAAACCCAAACCTGTGATGCATGACTTAGAGTCCGTGGGAGTTAAAACAGAACTTAACGTCCACACTGTTTAGCTGATAGACTGCTTTTGACTTCCGATGTTAAGTTACCCGGATACTAATTCAAATAATTTCAAGGCCTACCTATTCATTTTAATTCTCTGCTTCGAGACAGCTAATAGGAGCTTTTTTAGTCTGCATATTTCTCAGTTTCATTACATAATAACCAAATTAGACTCTGCAGAGACGTGTAAGGGAGATTTAAGAATAAATGTGTGTGACAGACTCATGGCCAGCTGCTGTTTGTTTCTGAATAAACTGTGATTTTAAATGGAGTTTCTTCTTCGGATTGTTGTTACGATGTCTCCATCTAGCGTTCAATGAGCGATGTTTGTAAATTTTTGAGTTTGTATTATTTATTTTTTCACAGGAAGATGCAGCAACAGTGCATATGAAGAAAAACGTATGTGCATTTTTTTTTTTACTGGACAAATTTTTAACTGCATGGATTGAATAACGATTGGGTAAACCTAGCCGTGGAGCGTGGCCTTAGTTGAATTTTGAGCCCATGACCTGACCTTTGAGTCAGGTAAAACTGAAGAGCTGTACCTACAAGATGCAGCATGCATCTGCTCCAGATAGATGAGATAGATCTGTAATCTCTGACATAAAG